CCAGTAGCCCATACATATAAAGCGTATGTGATTTTCTATTAGTGCGCAGTGCGTACACATTAAAACTTCCCATGTTCGTTTGCTTTTGAACGCGCTATGTGGTGCAGCACCTAGTACCGCACGCACTGCAGGAATACAAGCAAGCAAATCAACATAATATATATTATATACCATATAAAGATAGGTGCAGAAAATTATTGTCTCTCATAATTTTGCCAGGGCGTGCAGTGCACACCCTGCACATATGGACCACACGCCACTGGTTGCAGGTTATATTGCTTACCGTGTGTGAAACAAAGACCCATCATTGGGAACAATATCTAACAATAGTGCTGATGAACCAATATTTTAATTCAGAATGGATTAAATTATTGTCCTTAGGAGGTTTGACTACACCTTCCCATTCATAGATGAATATAGTTTGTGAGTTCGAAAGCATATTTTGTGCAGTTCATGGTACAGCTTACTATAAAGGGAAGCTTGTAATTGGATCTTTAATTAATAAGCTGGAGAAACATTATCCTGAAGTTAACAGAGAAGCAATTCGTTTATTTTTCAGAGTGAGAACTTTTATTAGAATATGTTTCTTAAATAGAAATGCATATGTTTTTTCCCAAAGAGAAGCAGTCCAAAAGACAAAAAGTGGATTGCTTCGAATGTGGCAGCCAATAAATAATATTTCAACAACTTGTTGTTGTACTGTGACTGTACAAGAAAGTATACATAACATGTTTTGATTTGAAATATTTGTAGATGACAGTTTAGAAGTTAATAGCGTAAAGCATATTTCAAATGAGAACTAATTTTGTTAAGTTATTGTTAAAGTTATTTTTATTGTATCCTGTGTTATTATTGATTCAATTTTGTGCTAGCTTAGCATTCTAGATAAAATATAATAATATAACTTTAAAGTAATTGGCACAAGAAGATTTGCCTCCTTAATCCCGACTTTTGAAAAATTAAAATAATTTTTTTTTTAGGTACTGTAAGTAAAGTTGTTTTGTCTAATCTTACATGTATTTATTTAAATGTAATATTGATGTAAGCCTAAGTTACAAAATTATTTTTAAAAAAAATATGTTATTATATTGAATCGGGAAATTTACCAACGTAAAATTTACAATTAGGCTGAAACTCAAACTTAGATTACTATGCCAATTTAAGATTGCTTTTTGATTAATTTTAAATAGCTGTTATTATAGTTATCTTAGAAGCAGTAGTAGAGTTCTCTTAATTAAATCACAGATAAAGAAATGATTAGAAATAAACAGACATTTAAAGAAAAAAAAACTGTGCAAATTTAAAAAAAAAAAAAAAAAAGGAATTTTATGTTAATATTAGCGTATTTATTTGTTATTTTAAAATTGAGTAAGAACTATTAATTTTTTTAATGTTCAGTGTAAAAACGCATACTACAGTAACATTGTCTCTTCTAAATTAGAACTATCTTTCATACACAGCTCATTTTAAACGCTGGTTCTTAAATTTAAAACACTTAATTTCTATGTTGTCATTGCATCTCCGCTGCTCAATGTCCTCATGGCTACGTCATCACTCCCCGGTGCCTGTTTCAGGGGAAAAAGCTCTATGAGCTAGCGCTTCTCTTTTAAGTCCTGGTAGAGTATTTGAATATAATTGTGGATCAGTTGCACTACATGACATCTGTCTTCCCAAGTGAAAAAAGGATCTTCCAGCAGGGTAACGCCCCATGTCACAAGGCTCAAATTGTGTTGTAGTGGTTCAAGAAGCATAAGAATGAATATCAATTAATGTCCTGGCCACCTAACTTGGCGAATCTTAACTCGATAAAGCACATTTGGGACATGGAGCAGCAGATCAGAGCTCAAACACCCTCATGTCGGAATATCTCAGCTTTGCGTGATTGCTGTTTAGGCATTTGGTACAATCTGTCTCCAGTCATCTACCAAGAACTTGTGTGAAGGCGAATTGCAGCTGTTTTTCAGTTCAAAGGTTGTGCAATACATTATTGAGTAGGTGTCATGATGTTTTAGCTCTCCAGTGTAAATGTACATTTGAAATTTAATACTCTGTGAATTGTGTTATGTCTGTGAGTCTTTTTCCTTCAAGAACAATGTATAAAGCTTGAAGTCTCTTTATGTTATGTATATCTTTTTAGGAAAGCTTACTGGAATTCATTTTCCAGAAGAAAATAAAAATGAGACTGAATTATCAAAGAGTAAGTAGTTGAATGTGTCATTATTTATCGATCATTTTTGTGAACTTGGAACATTCTTCATTATTGTAATGTTGTTGTTTTAGTTAGCTAATGTATTAAATTTTATCTGCAAAGTCGAAAATAATCTTTTACTTTAGTAGATTATGAACATGTTAAGAAAGAATGTGCCATATATCAGGAAAGGGTTAAAGCTTTAGAAGCTGATTTAATAAAGTAAGTTCTTTTTTTCTACCCTTTAGTAAATGTATTCAATAAATTTCAGTGCATAGTATTTATGTTTTGATGGTGATGCAAATCTCATATACTTTATTATTGTAATAGAACTGTAAAAGAAAGTTTGTATAAATAAGGATCACTTTTTTTCTAATAAGTGTTTTCATTTCAACTGAAATTTGGTTAAAAGCTTTCATGTATAGAGGTATTTTGTTTTGTTTCAAATTAAGTTCAGAAAAAGTGCTTTTAAAATGCTGGTAATAACTTTTTATTTAATTACAGGTGTATAGTTGAAAATACAAAGCTAGAAACTCAAAGTAAAGCTTTGGCAGAATCATGTTCACAACTTGAAGCAGCATTAGGATCTAGGGATGGAGATTATTGGAAAAGCCATGCTGTAGTTTCAAAATCTGAATTAGAAGAAACAGCTAAAAAGGTAAAATTATAGCTTAGCTTTAGAAGAATATTTACTGTAAAGGTCTGGTAAATAAACAAACATCTTCTTTTATTCTAGTTAGCTGATGCCCATGAAGAAATAGTTCTGGTCAAAGAACGTTATGAAGAATGCAATAAAGAAAAGTCATATCTCCAAGGAGAATTAAACAGTCTTAAAGAACAGCTTCAACTTTTATCTGTGCAATCTAAGACGGTCAGTTTATTTTTTAATAATGTGCTATATAAGCTTGTAATGACTTTATAATTAGCAAAGTGTATCAAGATTTAGAAATAAATTCTAAATGGTAGTTAGTTTTGTATTGGAATGCCACTTTGTTGTCATGGTGGTAGGAGAATGGGTTATCCAAGCCCTAAGCCTAAGTTTGAATCCCAGAGAAGGCACGGATGCTTCTGGCTGTTTTCTGCCTTTTCCATGGATTTGATGTTGGTCTACCCCCCTCTGCTGAACCCCACATTACATTCTCGTTGATGAGATGGCTAAATAACCAACATTTGAAGAGCAACTGCCTTTTCATTGGGAGAAACATACTTTTTTTTTTTTTTTAATTAAACATCAAGTTTGGTTCAAATTCTTCAAACTAGCAAAATTTGGAAGTACTCTAAAGCAGTGGTTCCCAAATTGTGCTCCACAGAGCATTAAAGGCACCTTAACCTACCCTTAACAAGGATTCTATGGCCGCTCCAGTAAAAAATAAAAATTTATAACATTAAAGAAAAGTAAACTAAAAAGGGGGAACTAGAAATTACATTCTGAATGGAAATTCAACAAATTCAGTCTCCTCTAGCAGCCGAAGCGTCATTGACTAGAAGACATGCAATTTAATCATGTGATGTGAAACAGATCCAAAACTGTAATAGATTCCTCTTCTCAATTGCTTGATCTGTATAGCAGTAGCAATGTTGTCTGCTGTGTATCATTGCGTTCAGTTTTGGTCCCACAAATGTGTGGATGCTTTTAAGTATGTAGTGTCTGTGGTTTCCAGGCAAAAGCCCACTGGACGAAAGCGAATGCGACAAAAGCCCACAAAAGAAAGCCCACTATGGTAATTGCCCACGCGATGAAAGCCCACACTGATGAAAGCCAACGTTGATAAAAGCTCACATAGATATAAGCCCACGCTGATAAAAGCCCACACTGATAAATGCGCACATAATCAAAAGGGGCTTATGCTTTTTTAATTTTTTTTATATATTTATAATTTTAATCATAATAAATGGAGTATTCAGATCTGAATTTTAATGTCTCAATATATGTCTGTTTATATATTCTATTACTACTTTATTTGTTTAATTTATTAGGTTGAAAGCAAACTTTCTACTCTCTGATTAAGTGATTAGCTATAACGTTTCGATGATAAATCTGAAATTGCATTTTATTATTTATTTACTTATTTAACTTTGGTATGTGTATGTGAAAATGAAAAATATCATTGTGGAGTTTCTCACATGCTATTTTTAAGGTAATATGGCTGAGATTAAATATAATTATGTTTCATTATTAAAACTATTAACTTTTTAATTAAAAACACTTGATTTTTTTTTATTTCTTTTTGAGAAGCTGTTTTGAATGTAAAAATTATTCGGTTCACGGTTTTAAAGGATTTTGGTTGTAGATATGGTGGTCTTAAAAATGTGATATTCGCTGGCAATTTTCGTTTATGTTCACAAAAAATTGCAGGTCTCTTTCAAAAGGCGACCTCTTAGAAATGTCGTCAATAATTATAATTAACTGTAATTATTTTCTAATGGATAATGGAATTAATTTAATCTAAGTCAATATAAAACGGGTATTTACAATAGGGATTTAAAGCACTATAATGAATTAAAAGCACTGTATTTTCTTTACAATAGCGTGTTAAGATATGCTTCTTGTATTTTCATTTTAAACTATATCAGCTCTTGAAAATAGCAGCAATCAGACAAATTATTAAAAAATTTCAATTTGAAACATTATACTAATTTCTATTACTATTTTCCCCCCGCATTTTGTTACGAAGTAAAGTTTCTTTTCTTTTTATCTACTGAACACTTCTTCCAACAATCTACTAGCCGAATTACACTTATGCTAGAAATTTTATCTAACAAAAAACTGCTTAATCATGACAAATATTCACTGCAAAATTGGGAAATTCTCTTCAGACAGCGAAATAAAAAAAGCCTTCAATTCATTGTTTATTTTTCAGCGTTTATACTTGGGTTTTACCAAGAGATCCTGCATTGAAGAATCGGTGGCAAGAGGCAGGAAATGATTGAATATTTGGAAATAATCTCTGGATGTGAGTGGAAGGCAGACACTTCTGCTTTGAGAACAATTTGAGAGTAATGAGAAACCTTAATCAGGCCTATTTTGGAACATTGATATTCTTTTTATTTTTGCCCTTCAGATACTAATTTTAACAAGTTTGAAATAGTATAACTAAGTGCAGCAAAGATTGTTATTGGCCTAAGTCCAGTTGTCCCAGTAATATTGTTATACATGGATGTGACCTTCAGCTCTTGAATTTGAGAAGAAATTCCTCTCTTGTAAAGTACTATAAAGTACTTAGTTACAGAAAAAAACCACAGAGTTTCTTCTGTTTTAAAAAGTTGGAATAGCAATCAAAAATTGAAACAAAGTAGTTCCTTTTTATCTGGCTGATGTTTATAATATAAGTTTCCTCAGATGTGGAATACCATACTTTGACTCCTCATATTAATCCAGTACATGGGCTTTACGGTGTCTTTCTTCACACTAAGCTTTTGTTCTTTGCAAACAAATGACTACATAACCTTGATCTCTTAAAGCAAATGCCCTAGGGACTATAGATCAGATTCTTAGTGATGCTCTTGTGATGCATACAGCTGGAAGCAAAAGTGTTTTTGACATTGCAGATAGTGGAGCATATATAAAGGTCCCTAACACATCTTTCAAAACAAAACAAAAAACAAAAAAAACAAAAAAAAAAAAAAAAAAAAAAGATAATATCTGCGCTGTTTTCAGGTCTGAACACATTGCAGTTGAGAAAGTTTTGTCTTATATTGATTCTTTGGCAGAATGGAATTTTTATGAAATATGGATTTTAACTAACAGTTGTGCGTCCATACAGCACCTCTCCATCTGATCTTTTGTTGGGGACAGAGCCAGCACATTCTGAACCTTCTCTGTAAACTATCAGCTGATTACTTTGTTCATCTGCAGTGGGTTCCTTCTCACAGTGGTTTGTCCAGTAGTGAAACAGCCAATGCTTTGGCCAAATCCGTTTCAGCTGATCCTGTACATTCAGATTCTTGTTTTTTGACTTTTCAACGAAATCTCTAAGAACAGCATTGCCAAAAAAAAGTGAGAGAATAAGGGAAAAAAAAAAAAAAATAAAATCTGAAAGCTTTCAGATTTTATATTAAACCTAAAGGGGCGTTTTTTAATGTTTTGTGTGTTATGTTTATTTATTAAATATCATTTTCTTCACACTTAAACCATAAAATTTAATTCAAGCGATATCACAAAATATTTAAAAGAGCATGTCTTTAGAATTTACGATGCACAGGCTTGCCTGCTGGAGATAAAAATGTCCCCCCTCCATACAGTGTTGCTATTGCTCGCTTCCAAATCATTGAGTTTCTTAGCCATAAATGCTTTACAAAATATGAAATAGATAATAAAACAAGTTTGGGCTTCCAGATTCCCATATTCGGGTGGAGACATATATTATTCAAATTTGATGACACTAGGTGCCATTGTTTTATCGCAATGCGAGAAACATACATATGTTTATGCAGATTCTTCATTATTTAATTTCTTTAAATGTAATGCAGGGCTCTAATATTTGGTGGCAACAATTAAAAATGTTATTTGCCATTTATAGTGAATCAATGCAAAATGTCAAAGTGAAATTAATAGCCCTTCTAAGCCAATTTCCCCTTTGGGCTAAAAACCTGGCTTGCTCCATCTGCCCACCTATCGTACTTTAGAAAATGGCTGAATGGAGGTCTTTGGTTCAAAGGAAACAAAATGCTACAGATGGCGTTTTCATGCTTAGTAAGTGGTCATCTTACGTGTGTTTCTTTCATGCATGGATAAAAGGTTTTCCCATGTGTGGGAAAGGCAGTGATGCTGCAGTAACTCCTCAGCATGTTCTGGATTGCATTAACTTCACCTTGGAAGATGCACAGGCCGACATTTGGATGTTTGCTAACATTTTGAGTATAAATAGACATATGGACCTGATCTAGCTCCATTGAATCAAGTGGGATTAAAACCACCATCACCACCAGAGTAGAGTAAAAGCTTAGAGTGACATAGTTAGCCTTTGAATATTATTGGAGAAAACATACTAAATTATATGGATAAATATTTGAGATGTTTTGAAATTTTATAAAAGTGGTATAAGCGTAATGGCATGCTATCTAGTTGATAATTTTCATATTGTAGTTATTCTGCAATAGTTTATAAGCTGTGAGTTGTATTTGGTTAGTGTTTAAAAATACATTGAACTGTTTCATGGGAATTTTTAAAATAACCATTCATGAAAGTGAGTAGTTTTTCTGAGATTATAGATAAATATTAGTACTGAATATTGCTTTTTTAAAATGTTAACCTTCACTGAAGATAAAAATTCTCTGGAACTGTGAATGGCCATATTAGAGTGGGTTACACTATATTTTTATTTCAGTTTTTGCTATTTTTTAAAATTCTGCCATAAGTTGTTCATATATTACTGTCATTGTTTTTTAAATATCGTTGAACCATGTATGTATTTGCAAGAATTCCTCCCCTCTCCTTATTACATCTTGTGAATTATATTTTATTTCTTTTGTTTCAGAAAGGTAAATTTGATGAATTGTATTCCTGGCAACAACATCAAAACTTTGACAAAAAATTCATTTTGCATGATGGCCCACCATATGCTAATGGAGAGGTTCATATTGGTCATGCAGTTAATAAAGTAAGTTAAACAAAAACTGATTTTTTACTGTTAGTCATATATAATTATTTTGTATGTGAAGAATTTTTATTGTGTTCAACAGTATAATTAGTCATTACATCAATAATTAAATCTTGTTTTATTTTACACATTTATAAAGGATTTTGCTTATACAGTCAAAAGTCGTTAATCCGGACTCGTCGGGACTTCGTCAACTCCGGATTATCGATTTTTCCGGATCAATTTAAATCTGGTAAGATGGCATGCAGAAGTTATAAAATTAAAAATATGAAACCATTTATTTAGTAATAAAGAACAATTATGATCTAAAGGGTATCAAAATTTACAAAAAAAAAAA